GAGAGCAAGAACAAATTTTATGGATATGTGGAAGAAGACCATTCTAGGTTGAATAAATAGTCAGTACAAAAACCATGGTGTGTTGGGGAATAGCATGGAATATTCATAAAAACTATTATAGTGCCCAAGTAGATGCTCACAAGTAATAGCTATTTAGAATACTATGACCAGGAGTATGACCTAGAACTGTGTGGTCTCAGTGCTGATCTTGCTGTTATGTCATATTGTCTCTTCCTTATAACCATGAGACATATAGTGACTTTTCTTTTCCACTATTGTTCCTTGCCAAGGTCCAGCTTTTACACAGGCTTAGTATGCGTTTCCAATCATGTAATTTCTGTTTTGACTTTTGTACACTAGGATGTTGGGTTCTAACATTTCTCTTCACACTAATTTTTGGGCTTGATATTGTTACTCTCACTGGCTGGCAACAGTGATTCCCTTCTTTCTTCACCATATGTATGTGTCATCCCAAAGTGGAGGCATACAGGCCAAAAGGTCAGTCTCCCTAGGAAGCGGAAAATCCTTAAGTTCACATGAACTACTATATAAAAATTCTAATTACAGCTCTTCTGCACTCCTTCAGCACTCTATATAGTATCCAAGACACTTTGTTTTAACTTTTTAATTATATGTTACTTTTATTTTTTGAATAGGCAGGCAACGCACTGTGGTATGAAATTTTAAAAGAACAAAATTATATAGGAGAGAAAAATAAGTTTCCCTCCTTATTTTCCCCAGCCAATCATTATTTCTGCCTTGAGACTAAGGATGTAACCGGATTCCTTAGTATCTTTTCAGAAATATTGAGTGCCTATGTGTATATGTGCATGAGGGTATGTTTACTCTTCTTCTGCATTGCAGTCTCAGATGATAAAAAGCATCTTTTCTTTCCAGGTTTCATATTTTCACTTTTCCACAGCAACTATGATACATAGGAAGGGGCCTCAAGATTTTCTTCCAAGAGTGGCAAGTTGAACAAACAATTCTATATGGTTTGGTTAGATGTTCAGCCCATGAAAAATAGGCAAGATAATTATAGTTTTATCTCTTTTTTTCCCCAATCGATTTTTATTGAACCTTTTTAGTTATACATTAGGATTTATTTTGACATAATTATGAAAGCATGAAATAAAATTTTCTCTAATTCAGTCCCTAGTACTTCCCCTTCCTTTGATCTCTTCCTTCTACTGATCTTTCTGTTATTTACTTATAGGCTTTTTTGTTTTTGATTTCAGTTAGTGTCTTGTGGAAATACTTGATAGCGAGGTTCGCTGTGGCATATTCACGTATTATGTAGGAAAGTTAGGTCAGATACATTCCAGTCTTCTTCCCTATCCAGTCTCTTCCTCCCTCCCCATCAATCCCCTTAATCACTTTCAAAAATCATTCTTCTACTTTGCTGAGGATTGAATCCAGTGCCTCACACATGTGAGGCAAGCACTCTACCACTGGGCTACACCCCAAACTCCAGAAACTTTATCTCTTTATTGAAATAATCTTTCACTTCCTGTATTTTCATCCTATTTTTTCTATTACTTTTTCTTTTAGTTTATTAATCATTTTAACTGTGAACTTTCTACTTTCTCTGACATTTCTTCCACTGTAATGCCAATGGAGTCAGTTGTTGAAGTGTTATGTATTGTTTGGGGTAGTTTGTTCCCTTGATTTTTAATATCACTTGTATATCTATCCATTTATTGGGGTGGTTTTTGCTTCTTTTAAGCAAGGGACTGCTTTGTGAACTTCATAAGAGCCCTGGGTTGGGTGAATATCTAGGTGTGGATATTTAACTCATATCATGACCTTTGCTGATGCCAATATAAGCACCACTTTGAGGGAAGCCCAGAACCCTATTTACTACAATCAGTTCAGAGCCCAGCCACTTACAATTCAGCCTGATAAAAAGTGAATGACTTGTAAATATAGTGCTTCACCAGTTCCTCTAATACAGGTATAAACCTGTAGTAAAAAGTTCTGGAATGTCTTGAAAATTAGTTATTAAAGATAGTGAAATTGCTGTAAAATTATACAAGGGCTGAAAGGGAGAAAAATGGGCAAAAGAGATTAAAAAATTAAAAAGAGAAAAGGTAGAAAAGAATAATACTCACTAAGGTAAAAAGGGTTAAAAAAGGTGGATAGGGGTATTTCTGGTACTGGAAGACAGTGTGAGTGGGAGAGTAGCAATTAAGAGGGTCAAGTATAAACTATGGCTAGGAAGTCAAAGATAGAAAGAATGATTCCAATTAGTGCTTTAAACCATTAAAAGAAATACGTTTACATGGGTTGAAGGTACAATAATGGCTATTAGGGTAACAACTCACAATCAAGATAAATAGTAATATTCATGATCAAAGTTGATGTTTGAGTTATTTATAGTATAAACCGTGCCAAGGTGAAGAAAATTCTTTTTGAATCTTGGTTTGGATTTCATTTTAGGATTTGGGACATTTAAAAAATATCCATCATTATTTGTCTTCTAATTCCTCCAGAGATTCCTGGGTAGAGGAGTCCCTCCCCTAGTTTCTTTTTTAAATTTTGATTTGTTATATATGACAATAGAATGCATTACAATTCATATTTTACATATAGAGCACAATTTTTCATATCTCTGGTTGTACACAAAGTAAAGTCACATGTTTGTGTCTCCTTATATCTACATAGGGTAATGATGACCATCGTGTTCCACCATCTTTCCTACCTCTGTTTCCCTCCCTTCCCCTCCCTCCCCCTTTCCCCTTTGCCCTGTCTAGAGTTCATTTAATCCTCCCATGCCCACCCCCCCATAGCATATTATGGATCAACATCCTTAAATCAGAGAAATCATTCAGCACTTGGTTTTTTGGGGATTGGCTAATTTCACTTAGCATAATATTATCTCCTGGTTTCTTTGGACCTCCCACTAGTCTGATTTGTTTTGTCAGCTCAGGGACCTGTGGCTGACTGCATTGAGTATGTGGAGTATGTGAAGTTGTGTCTGTTGGTTGTTTCTGTTTTGTGCAGGAGTTCAGGACGCAGGGCTCTGGGCTATTGCTGCTATTGCTGTGGGTCATCAAATACCCACTCCCCTCTACAGGATCGTTTTCATGAAGGCATAAAGCATAATGGCTGTCTGCAAGCACAGGTCCTGTGGTTGTGGATTCTCCATGGGGGATCTGTGGTACAGATCCTGGCCTATGCAGCTTACTGGGGTACTGAGTAAAGAGATTCAGCTGACTCACCTAGGTTCCAGTTTCCACTGCCCCTGGCTGTGAAGGGTGGGCACTGATTCCCTCTGCTGACTGATGCAGGGTTGAGACAGGATCAAAACAATGCCCTTGGGCTGGGGTTGGGGCTCAGTGGTAGAGCACCTCGCACATGTGAGACCCTGGGTTCAATCCTCAGCAGCAAATAAAAATAAATAAGTGAAAAAAAGGTGTTGTGTCCAACTACAACTAAAAAATGAATACTTAAAAAAAAGAAAACAGTGTCCTGTCACACAGTACATGTGCCCAAGGGTCAGCTGCCTTGGACCCAGGCAAATGTTTGCCTTAACTGACCTCTTGTTGGCTTTGGTAATGGTCCAGGCCTCTTCCCTTTAAGCTTCCTGAAAACTCAGGCAACTTCTCATCCCAGCCTTCCACCAGCTGCTGCCATGATCTAGGGAACCATCACTCTATGCAGCTGGATATCCAGGAAGCTTCCCTCCAGGATGGCCTTATGCAGACTGTGACTGCAATCAGGGACAATCCCTCTAGACTTCTTAGAACTCAGGCAACTCCCCTCTGTGTCTCATCCCAGGGACAGCAGGCTGCAGCAGCAGTTCTAATGGCTCCCCTTTCCCCTTTCTTCTGCTTGCTGCCAAAACTGTCTTGCTGCTTGGATCTGAGCTTTCAGTTCTGCTGCTGTGTGTGAATTGCAGGTGTCTGCTCTGTCTCTGCCCAGCCTTCCATGACAGCTGTACAGAGCGCTGATTTGGGCGAGCAGTTCCTGGGTTGGTTGTTCCACCCTGCTCCCCCTTTTTATGGTCAGGTGGAGGGGTTTCAGCAACTTTGGGCTAGTAGTGATCCCTTTACAAGTTCTTTCTAGAGGGATCCTTAAGAGAACCCACTACCCTCTAGTTTAACTTGCTTCTTTCTGGAAGTGGGGAGAATGCTGTGTTGATTTATGGGGGTGACTGTTCAGCTCTGGGCTTCACAAAATGGCTGTGGATCCTGGCATGGCTTTCTATTTATGATTTGGTTTTATACTGCTTGATCTGCTTCAAGGACACCGCTGTTGCTGCCATGCCTTTTTTTTTTTTTTTTTCTGCCTCTTTCCAAATGTTGTTAAGGGAGTGGACTTTGTGCTTTACTGCTCCCTCTTTCTCTGCCTGTTGTCCCTCCCCATTTCTCCCACCCTGTTCCACATTTGAGGTTAGGGAATTCTGTGCTTATTTCCTATTCTGGTAACCAATCTTCAAGTCACTCCAGGTCTTGGACATTATAATATTGAGTCTAAGAACATTTATGTCTCCCACCTGTCAGATCAGCTGTTCCTTCACTGCCTCCTTTCTGTGTTTTTGCTCTCAGAATCCACTGCCTAGGTCCATTCTGCCATATTTAGGACTCTCTCAAAAAGTATCTTAATAACTCTTTGAATCTGATTTTTATCATATCCTGTGAGGTAGGTGGTGTTGCCCCTGTGTTACAGAAGAGAACACAGAGGCTCGTTGAAGAGAAATGACTTCCCTCAGGTCTCCCAGGCAGAAAGTAGAAAACCAGGACTGATGTTGTAGTCTTTTGTCTGCATTCTTTGTCTCACACTAAGGAGTGTTACATTTTGTTTCATAAAAATGGGAAGAGATATCTAAACACTTGCTAGTAGAATGGTTTAGAAAATCCCCATAATTCATTTAACCATATTAGCATATTTACAGCAGACCCTAAGTGTAATGTTAGCAGATATCAGGTGGTAGGCAGTATTAGGGACAAAAAACTGGATATAATTGCCTCCTGGATATCTTCCTTATCCCTCCACAGATCTATTTGGGTCCACCAGAGGAGAACACTGCACCCCCAGTGCCTCCACCTCGAGTGACAGCAAGAAGACACAAACCAATCACAATTTCAAAGCGATTACTGCGAGAAAGGGCGGTTTTCTATACTTCTTCCCTGGATGAAAGTGAAGGTTAGTACTCATATTCACCCTTAGCTTCTAAATGGTGATTAGACACAAAGAAGTCATTGAGGGGCAGAAGTGGGGGTGTGACCATTTTTATCCATGCAAATATAAGCCTTTCCTGGCTTCTAGGTTTAAAAGCATCTTGGAGAAGCAAAGCTTATATTTATTCCCAGAGAGGAAATTACTTTTTTGGTTTTGGATAGGACAGGGATTACTTTGTAAAAGATGCTACCATGATCCTTTCTTTATAATATCAGAGGAGGATCCACAGTATTCTTAGATCTGTGTGCCTAATACATGGAAATGCATAAATAAGATGCTTTCTGAACATGCTTAGGTTTTAAACTCATATATGGCTAACATGGATTGAAAACCTACTATGAGCCAGGTACTATGCTAGGTGCCCAGTATGTATCCCTAAGGAGCTTGTGGGATAAAGTGAGATACATGTATGTGAACAAACAAATGCCAGTCAGTGGAATAATTGCTAGGAATGAGACTCTAAACATTCTACATGGACCTATGCCCCACCCACCACTATTCCACTGAGAACATTCTTGCAAAAGTCACTAATAATCTCCATGTGATCAAATGAAATAGCCACTCCATTATTCTCCCCTTACTCAGCTTATGAGCAGCATTAGATACAGTTGACTACTTCCTCCTCCTTAAAACACTGAACTTGGTTTCCAGGATACCAACTTTCCTTTTGCCTCACTAGATATTCCATCTCAGTTTCCTCTATGGCTTTTCCTTCTCTCTGTTATATTCCTCTGTGATTTTATCCATTCTTTTGGTCTTATTTTTTAATTTATTCTGATTTTTTATACCTGATGCCAGAATGCAATTCATTTCATATTACACATATAGAGCACAATTTTTCAAGACACTGATTGTACACAAAGTAACACCATTTGTGTCTTATACATGTATTTAGGGTAATAATGTCTAACTCATTCCACCATCATTCCTGCCCCCTAACCCCCACCTTTCCTCTCCCTCCCCTTTGCCCTATCTAAAGTTCCTCCATTTCTCCCATGCTCCCCACCCCCAATCGCCATTATGCATCAGCATCCTCATATCAAAGAGAACATTCAACCTTTTTGGGGGGGATTGGCTTGCTTATTCACTTAGCATTATATTCTCCAACTTCATCCATTTATCTGCAAATGCCATGATTTTATTCTCTTTTAATGCTGAGTAGTTTTCCATTGTGTGTATATACCAAATTTTCCCTATCCATTCATCTACTGAAGGGCATCTAGGTTGGTTCCATGATTTAGCTATTGTGGATCCTGCTGTTATAAACATTGATGTGGCTGTGTCCCTATAGTATGCTGTTTCTGAGTCCTTTGGGTATAAACCGAGAAGTGGGATAGCTGGGTTAAATGGTGGTTCTATTCCAGTTTTCCAAGGAATCTCCATACTGCTTTCCAGATGGCTGCACCAATCAGCAGTCCCACCAGTAATGTATGAGTATGCCTGTTCCCCACATCCTTGTCAACACTTATTGTTGTTTGTATTCTTAATAGCTGTCATTCTGACTGGAGTTGAGATGAGATCTCAGAGTAGTTTTGATTTGCATTTCTCTAATTGCTAGTGATGTTGAACATTTTTTCATATGTTTGTTGATTGATTATATATCCTCTTCTGAGAAGTGTCTGTTCAGTTCCTTGGCCCATTTATTGATTGGGTTATTTGTTTTTTGTTTGTTTGTTTGTTTTTGGGTTTTTTGATGTTAAGGTTTTTGAGTGATTTGCATATCCTAGATATTAGTGCTCTATCTGATGTGCTTGTGGTAAATAATTGCTCACATTCTGTAGTCTCTCTATTTACCTCACTGATAATTTCTTTTTATGAAAAGAAACTTTTTAGTTTAAATCCATTCCATTTATTGATTCTTGATTTTAACTCTTGTACTACAGGAGTTTTATTAAGAAAGTTGGGGCCTAATCTTATATGATGGAGATTTGGGCCTACTTTAGGTCTCTGGTTTAATTCCTAGGTCCTTGATTCACTTTGAGTTGAGTTTTGTGCATGGTGAGAGAGATTTAATTCCATTTTGTTACATGTGGATTTCCAGTTTTCCCAGCACCATTTGTTAAAGAGGCTATCTTTTCTCCAATGTATATTTTTGGCACGTTTGTCTAATATAAGATAACTGAATTTATGTCTTCTATTCTATACCATTGGTCTACAGGTCTATTTTGGTGCCAATACCATGCTGTTTTTGTTACTATTGCTCTGTAGTATAGTTTTAGGTCTGGAATAGTAATGCCACAGAGTCTTTTTGTTTTAAATATCATTTAAGTGCTGAAGATGATTTCTAGTTTCCATCTGTAGGATGTTGTCATCTCAAATTGTTGTCATCTCAAACTCCCTGCTGAACTGACTTCCTTGGATGACTCATGGACATTTCACATTCAAAATGTTCAAAACATAATTCTTGATTTTCTACCGCTCCTTTACCTGCTCCTACTCCCACCTCCCCCCGCCCAGTCTAATTAATAGGCCACACCAGTCTCCTGATCGCTAAGGTTAAGAACTTTGACATCATCCTTAATTAGTCTTTTTCTTTTTTTCATCATATCTGATCCATTGGCAATTCCTATCAGCTCTCCATGCCCATTACATGCTAAATCTTTCTGCTTTCCCATGCTACCATCCTTGCTGAGCCTACATCATCTCTCACCTGATATCCTTATTTGCTTTCTTGCCTACCTCTAATCCATTCTCGCCTGCATCTAATCCATTCTCCACAGCAGCCAGTTAAATAGACATCTGTTGAAAATGTAAATTGGATCTCATCATTCCCTCTGCTGCAAACTTTCAGTGACCTCTCTTCATTTTTAGCATAAATTTTGCATTTAATGCTGTGTTATATGATCCTTACTTATCTCTCTAACCTTCATTTCTGTGCTTCCTGCTCTCACTGTCCCCTTTGCTTTCTCTGGGCTAATCCCATTGGTCTTGCTGTTCCTTATAGATATCAAGCTTAACTAAGTGCCTTTGAATTTGCTGTTCTCTTTGCCCTAAGTATTCTTCCTCCAGAACTTCACAGGCCTTACTCCTTTATCCAGAGTTTGGCCAAATGTTATCTCCTTATAGAGACCTTCTCTGTGTATTCTAGTTAAATAATCTTTTCTCCTCATCCAATCACTGCCTATTTCTTTATACTACACTATTTTATTTATACACCTGCTACTATTTGTTGACACGTTTGTTTCCTGTCTTTCCTGTTAGAAAGTAACATCTATTTTATCACTAACCATTAGAATATATTACATGTATATATTGCAAGTATTCATGTAATAAGAATGAACGAATGGATATGTAAGGAATAATGAAGAGTAAGGGATTACCTAGCTTAATGATCACTTTCATACAGAAGTTAGAATGTTAATCAGGAGAAAGTGGAAGGGAACATTGAATGCTTACTCTGTCCTACCATAATTTCAGTTTTATGGTATAAATTTATTTATTTATCCATGATGTCCCCAAACAGAAACTCTATACCAGCAGAATTTTTTTACACTGTATCTCTAGCACCAGCACAGTCCTTGGAACATAGTAAGCCCTCCAGAACTGAGAATAATAAATGAATGAATTGGGTGTCAGTAGACCTAAGACTGAACTTCATGTTAACCACTATCCTACTGAGTAAAATGAGCTAGCCATTTTCTCTCTCTGGGTCTCAGTTTGCCCCTCTGTGGTGAGGGCTTTGTGCCAGAAAATCTCCAATGAGATCACCCAGTCTAGACATTTTTAAGAACTTTTTTAGACTGATATATAATTTAAATGGCATAAAATTCATTCCTCTAAATTGTACAGCTCAGTAATTTTATTACATTTTGTACAACCATCTCATTCCAGAACATTTTCATTACCATATTTTCCAATTTCCATTCCCCATAACCCTTTACTGTTAAACTCTACTTTCTGTCTCTACAGATTTGCCTATCCTGAACATTTTATATTAATTGAATCATATACTTTGAAGATGTTTGTGGCTGACAAATCATTTCACTTATTATAATGTATTCAAAATTCATCCACATTGTAGCATGTATCATTTATTCATTCTTTTTTATTGTCAAATAATATTTCATTCATCATTTGATAGTTGAGTACTATTTACTTTTTTAGCTATTATAATGCTTCTATGAGCATCCATGTACAGGTTTTGTGTGGATGTCTTTCAATTAAGTATATACCTAGAATGAAAATTTTGGGGTCATATGGTTACTCTGTATTCAAACTTTTGAAGAACAGCCAAGCTGTTTTCCAAGCAGATACACCATTTTACTTTTCTACTGGCAATTGTTGAGATTTCTAATTTTTCTGCATCTTCACCAATACCTGTCATATCCTGACTTTGATTCCAGCCATCCTAAGTGGATAAAAATCCATAATCTAAATTAATATTTAACATTTGTGTGTGAGATATTTATTTGGAGCTCTCTTTTGTAGGGCAAGCATTGGAAACTCAAAAGAGGGTTATTTTCCAAGTTAACAATAGCTGCTAAATGACAGAACAGCAATTTGTACCCATCTATCTTATCCTAAAGTACTATTACCTACTATAAAAAATGGTGTGTTTCATATGACTTGTCTGAATATTGTTCTAAGAAGGAAACAATCCTTCTGATTACCACCATTCTTTATCAGTAATATTTCATTTCCTTACCCCAAACACTATTTTTTAATAAATAATATTTCAGTGAATCCCTCCACAATCATTATGGGCTCCTTCATAACCCCATATCTAAGTCATAGCCATTAGACCTCTTTAATATCTCTTGATTATCTTTGGTGATTTCATTCCAGCTTAGATACTTCTCATCAACTAACCCCCCCACACTTCCAGTCTCTCTGGTCCAATCTGATTTTCATAATGAACCCAGAGGTATGTTCTAAAAACACATATTTGAGAATGCTGCTTCTCTGTCACCCAAAAAGTAATTATCCCTTGTGGCCTAAAGATGAAGTACATATTCCTGAGGATGGCATCCATGATCTTTATGATATAGCTCCAATCCGTCTTAACAACCTCATGTTCTTTTACTCACAGATTCTCAAGTCAAACTAAACATTTTCTAAAATTTTTTCTCAGATAAACCCCGATCTTTCACTCTTCCAAGTTATTATTTGTGTGAACAATCTTGTTTTATCTATGCCCCTACCCAATCCCCAACCAGACATCAGGTCATTTCATCTGTGTTTCAGTATGCATCTCTAAAAATAAGGACTCTTTTTTAAACTAAAACAACAATTATTATCAGCCTATCTAAAAGAAAATGATAATACCGCAAGATCAATTGTCTAGTCAGTATCCAAATTCTCCTATTGTCTCATATTTATTATTTTAAAAATGGAATCCATCTGTTGCAACAGACCAGTACAGCTCTCAGGAATCATTTTGCTGGCCAGAACTATGTTTTCTACCACTAAATTCTGATCTACATTTTCTATTGCTAAAGAAGATGACAGTTCCCTGGCAGCAGGTTCAGTCTGGGGGTTTATTGACAATTTCAGGGAACTCTGTGGGTCACTTAAAATTAATTTTTTAAGTTTTGACTGTATTTATGTAGGTTAATTTTTCTAGGCAAGTGTACCTGGCTCTCATTATAGTTTTAGAAGCTCTAAGTAAGACTCAGAGTCACTGAAAAGCTTGCACTAATGTCAGAGGAAATTGTAGACCACAAAGGCTAGAGGAAGAACATAAAGTGGCTTTTTGAGGGTTTCTTTATGGGGGTGGAGAAAGAAGTTAAATTCTGCTATATTTATTAACTTGAAATTTGAGAAACATTAACAAATTACTTTTGAGAGAAATAGTTAAGAATTAACTCATGTCTTTATTTAGCAAGAATAGAATATGAAATTCATTGGGGACGCTAAGTCCCTTTTGAGTTCATTCCCCTTTGAATAAAACAGCCTAGTTTATTGTGGTTTGCTGAATTCTGGTGGTGAAAATCATACTCAGATCTTGAATTGAATTCCTTATTTAGATGGGACCTGTGACTCCTCATGAATTAGGAAGGGCAGAGCCTAATCTTGTGGGTTATAATTTATTTGTGCCACAGTGTATATAGCAGTTTTGAAAATGTGTACAACTTTTAAAAATTAGGAACGTATGCATATATCAAAATGAAAGGGTTTTAGAGATTATCACTAATCCTTCCTCTTTGCACCAACTTTTCTCAGATGAAATCCAACATCAAACACCTAATGGTACTATCACTATCAACCTAGAACCCCCGAAGCTGCCACAACACCTCAAACTACCTATGCAGAGGAGTGGGGAAGCTGATCCCGGGAGAAAGTCTCCAAGCAGGCTTATTTCAGATGGCAAATTGGAGCCGTGCCCTGAGGTGGATGTGGGAAAGTTGGTGTCTAGGATACAGGATGGAGGGACCAAGACTACCCCAAAGGCCACCAATGGACCAATTCCAGGCCCTGGCCCCACAAAGACCCCTTCTTTCCACATAAAGAGACCAGCTCCCCGACCCCTGGCTCACCACAAGGAAGGTAAGTACTTGGGAATCCCAAGGGAATCAGAACTGAACCCATATACTTTTCACCTTGAGATCCTTCCAGGATTGGAAATATCATAAGTGGGAATGTGTTCCACTTTACTAAAACTCATTCTGGAATGGTGGTTGAGACCACAGAAACATTCACAATAATCACTAGAATGTAAGCTCTACGAGGGCAGGGACTTGAGGCCTGTTTTCTTTTCTTCTATATTCCAAGTACCTAGAACAATGTCTTGCTGGCACATAGTAGGTACTTGTTATTGTGGAATAAATGATGAATGATAATCATGTTATTTAAAGCAGTGTTTCTATTGCCATTTATTAAGTATCTTCTGTGTACCTAGCATTGTATTAAGTCCTAAGTTTTATTATCCTCGTGACCCTTTGGTGAAGAAAGTATTATTCATGTTTCAGTTAGAAAACTGAAGATCCTAGAAATAAGTAACTTCCCAGAGAATCACATGGTAACTGGCAGAGCTGGGATCTAAATCTTAGCGCATCTTGCAGGTGCCAAAAATCTGTGTTCTTTCCATGAATGCAGAACCCTCATTTTGCCTTCTGATAAGAAACTTTGAATCTGTGAACCACTGTTTTCTCATTCTCATTTTCTCATTTGGGAGAAATAAGGACAAAGGGGTACAGCTTCTGTTCGTCTACACTTTTAAAATCATTACAAATTCTAGATGTAGTTGACTTCTACAATCTTTGTAAGCTATACACATGGGGACACATAGTGAGAGGAAGGCGCTGATCCAGAGGGAAGTTGAGAATATGATTTCTATGAAAATAGTATGGTATAATGAAAATATAGACTTTATTCTCAGAGGTTTGAATCCAAATTCTGGCTCTTTTACTTTGTATCCGGATGACCTTCTTAACATGTGCCTTATGTATTTGTATCCTCTCCTGTTCTAGAAAGGATTTAAGGCATTTCACAATATAGCCAAATATAAAAATGTAAAATAGTAAGAATAATGCATCTGGGAACTATTGGCTGTGTACTAATAGTGTACTTGGTCCCATCCCAGGTGCTGAGGACACAGAAATCAATTATACAAGGTCCCTGTCCTCTATAGGCTTAGAATAGAGCATGGCAAACTATGATATGTGGGCCAGATCAGACCCATTGCCTCTTTTTTTGTTTAATCTTTATTTGTTCTAATTAGTTACATATGACAACAGAATGCATTCTGACTCATTGTATATAAATGGAGTATAACTTCTTCTTCTGGTTATACATGATGTAGAGTTACACAGGTCATGTAACTATATACGTACATAGGGTAATAATGTCCAATTCATTCTACTATCTTTCTTACCCCCATTCCCCCTCCCCTCCCTTCACTCTCCTCTGCCTAATCCAAAGTACCTCTTTCTTATATGGCCCACAAGCTAAGAATGTTTTTGATATATTTAAATATTAAGAAAAGATACAATTTTTATGATGCATAAAAATTATCTGAAATTCAAATTTGTTTCTTTAACATAAATATACCCCTTCATTTACATAGTGTTTAGGGCTGCTTTCACACTATAACAAACTGAGAAGGAAAACAGAAACTTTATGGCCCTGCAAAGCCTAAAATGCTAACTGTGTGACCCTTTACAGAAAAAGGTTGCTGACCCTTGCCTGGGATTCTAGAGCACAGGCAAGAAAAATGAATTCTAGAGCAGGGGCATGGGAAGATAGGATAGGAGGGAAATAACAGGAAAGGAATCAGTACACAAAATGTTTGCCGTGAAACTTTACACACTTACTGGAATAGTGTCAGAGAGTTGGCTCCAAACTTTCTAAAGAAAACAAGAAGAAAGAAACCTCAACGGTTATATAATTCCAACTTCTTAAGGGAAAAATAGCCCGTTGTTCAGGTAAAACATAACTTTTCTGTTGTGGAGGCCAGGAAAATTTTTCTTCTGTGGACTGTGGCATATAACAACCTCACTGTGGGCCAATGGCATTGTCTCAGAGGACAATTTAGTGAAAGCCTATTCTGTGTGGGGGCCAGTACACATTTTATGAAGTAATTGACCCTGTGAATTTTCTAGCTGGATCCTCTGATGCATCCATGTGTTATTTAACCTCTTTGCACATTGGTTTCCATATCTGTAAAATGGGAGAAACAACTCACCCCCACAGAATTATTGCTATGATAAAAAGGAATAAGAAAATATCTGGCATAACCAGCCTATAAAATATGATACTGATTCTCTTCCCCTGTCCCTCCCTTCCTAAGATTTGCCTCTTCTGGGAAGTAGAGCCGAAAAAAATAAATAAATAAAGGCCAGGACAAAAAAATAAAGGCCAGACTTCTATGTGGACATCTGCTTCAGTTTATAATTTATATATTGACCTTCATATCAATCTGCTAGAAAGTTGGATAACTCCACTTACACTCATTACAGTAAAATTTGTCTTGCCTGTCGCCAAACCTTGAGATCAGCCAGGTTCTATCAGCTCTTCAGAAGAAGTTATTTAGCCCTCCCTATCATTTCTACCCTTACAATCTTCTACTTCAAAGTTCAATCCCAGTGGCCTTCTCGTCTTCCCCTTCCTCCACAGTACCATCCTCTGGGCTGCTGGTGGCAGCTGCTGTCATTTAATGGTGTCAGTTAATATAAGTACTGATCTGACTTGTCTAGAATCAGTCAGACTATCTAAATCTAGGCTGCAGCATTTCCAGGCTTTGATTTCTGCCCTAAATCAGTTAGCCACAGGCTGAAATGATTCAGCTTTTTTTCAAAGGCCTCTAGCCTTGGCCACAGAATACAGAATTGAAGTGTCTTTGGCCTTGGTGGAAGATTAGCCACACCTCTGGGGTAGTTGCCTCTTTGAACCTTACCCAGGCCACCCCCTCACCACTGCCTCCCTTTCTCCCTCATGATTTTGGCTGCCATGCTAGTAGATTCACAGGTATCAGAATAGTTATCAATTAGGAAAACTCTGCAAATAGTCATGACCCTGAGCTGTAGGTGGTGGCTGTTAACCCTTGTGGTAACAGAATCACAGGAAGAAGCTGTCAAGTCAGCTGACCCACTCTGAACCTCGAAGTTGTCACTCCATTTCAGCTCCATTCTCCAGGATGCTTTATTACTTTAGGGATCCAAATGTGCCACTACCCTGACACCCATCTTCACTTCTTGCAGTGATCCACCATTTAAGTGGACTTGATATTCTGCACATTTTTTTCCTCAGCAATTAAAAAGAATAAAATCATGGTGCCTGTTAAATTGCTTTCTTCCATGACAGTCAGCTTTACAATAAAATCAATATTGTTTGCTGGTGGAATTTTATCAAGGGCCCTTTTCTGTTCCAGACATAAGCTGGATATTTTTTCTTCTTCCATTTCATCTAATCATTGTGACAGGCCTGTGAGGCAGGTTTTACTGTTCCCATTGCACAGATGGAAAAACAGGCTCAGAGACATGAAACATCTTGCCCAGAGGAATTCAGATTGTAAAGTAGATATGGGGCTTGAACCCAGATCAGCTTGTTTATACCACATTTTAATTCAGCTGTTTAAGCTACCTTCTTTCTATTTTTTTTCCCTAAAAGACACTCACTTTGGGAGTGACTAAATTATAACATCCCTTTACCTTTCATTTGATGTTACTTCTTCTTACCATTTCTGGCTGTGCAAAAGGCATGTGTAGTTCCCACAGAGGAATTTAGGACTTTTCTTGGGGAATAAAGAGGCAGGAGGGCTATTTCCCATTTACTTACATGTATTTGCTCATTTATTCAGACAGTGCTAAGCAATGAGAGTGACCATGATCTTGCCTTTTGATGGATTATAGTGAGTCTGGCATGTAAGCAGCCAGTCGCAGCCCAGTATGATCCAGTTTCAGTAGGGGCATGGGGCAAGGAGTTCTTCATTCTGCCTGAGGTATTGAGATAAAAGTGGAGAGCACACCACTTACTATAACCCTATGATTTAGGAACCCTTCTTAGCTCCTTTCCTTTGTCTTGCAAGAAAAGACTACATCAACTGAGGTCCTCCTTTGATTGCAGGAAGGATACTTCCCAGGTTTTGCTCAGTCATAGGGCCATCAATTCTCTACTGGGGTGACTAATAGTATAAATGGCATTTCCATCTGCTCTAAAAGTATTAGGAACAGACTTGCTCCTGTAGTAATGGGCGTTGCTGGCCATTATCCATATTTTCTTGTTTGGACTCATTATGCTTTAATAATCTATTGTTTGATTTTAAATCTCTGTCCTAACTGCAGTGTAACTCCAACTTGTTCTTCATGGATAATTAATGGTTAAGGCTTTAGGGGAGCATGGAAAAGTGTCATAGGAAGAGATTCTTCTAGAAAACTGGGAGACTCTTCAAGTGGAAACAATCTTTCCCTACTGTCTCAGGTTAAGTGTAGATAGGTATAAGGAAAGTTGGAAGAAAGTTGCTTAGGATTGAAGACTGATCACCATCAGGTCCCCCAAAATCTGCAAATTATAAGATTCTTTGGTTATCTTCATTTGACAGAGAATTAGAGAGGGAAACAAATGATTAGATTGGAGAAGGAGATCCAATTTAGAGTATTAGCCAAATTTTCAACCAAAGTTAAGAAAAAAAAATTAAAACGAAAAACAGGTGGAAAGACTATAGGATCAAGAGGCTTAGTGGTCCTTAGTGGTCTTAGTGGCCAGGCTCCAGGGTGTTCCAGCTATGAGTTTGAATCTTGGATATTCCCCTTCCAATCTGTGGGACACTGGGCAGTTCATAACCTCTCTGAATCTTGGGTTTGTCCTTCTTATAATGAGGATAATAACTGTATCCATTGGATTGCTATAATGATGAAGGGTGACAGATGTGTGCCTGGCACATCATGAGTACTCAGAAACAGTAGCGGGGTTTTTTTTGCCCTTATTAGAGGTTTTACTAGCTGCAAAGTTTTCATTAGGTCAGCTTCACATCTAGGGAACTCTCCCTTAACCCATTCCTTGGGCACCTAAATTTGGCCCTCTAATGTGGATACTGAGTGATAGGGTTCACTCTTAGCTCATGTGAGTATGTCTTCTCTTCCCAACTCAGTTTTAAGAAGCCAGGGAACAATTGTGAGAATTCCTCATGAGAGCATAAGATGGGGCCTCAAAAAACTCCCGATATATTGAATACCTTTCATCTTAGGTTACAGAATAGACCTGAATCTTGTTTATATTATGTTTGTGTATGTTACATGTAGCCCAATGGGTTCCTAAAAAGGGAAAGCTTTCTTTGCTGTCCTTCTAGTAGACTGAAGTACATTTTTTTTTACTCAATAAATATTTGTTAAATATTCACCAGTTTTATGCAAAGCAAACTACTTGGGTCTCTGGGGAATACAGAGATGAATGCCACCTGTATCTTGCTCTCAGAATACTCCAATTATAATAGGACAGATAGAGCCATGAAAACAAAGATCCAAACTACAGGATTCAAAGTACAAGATGATCAGTGCCTTAAGAACCAGAGAAAGAACTTGGAGCATTTTAAACTTCTGAAGATACAAATTTGGGCATGAGGGAATAGGGTAAATAGCCTCTTAGAAAGACATAATTAATTGTAAGGCATATACATGGAACAATAAATACTACTGCTTGAATTGTAGGATATGTGAAGAAGAATGGTACAAAATTAGATCAGAAAGGAGAATTGAAGCCAAATGGAAGTGGGTCACAATTCAGGTTAAACATGTCAGTGTATATTCTATGGACAGCAAGGAGCCATGAAGTCTAAATCTTCTGAGAAAGAGAGGCAGAATACATTGGGGTTTCTAGAGTACTCCCAATGTAGCATGTAAAAGTCAGCAGGGAGAGATAGAAGTCTAAAGACATGTCATAGGCTGATTCATCTGGACAACAGTCCAACCCCGTGTTGTATTGTAGGGAAGTGATCTGCTGAAAATCATACAGCTTAGTTTTAGGACGAAGACTATATTACAGGTTTCTTGACTCCAAGTTATATGACTCTTCCCTCCCAGCCTCACCAGTTTGGCATTGTGCTTTAGCAGTGACTGAGACAAATTTGAGGAAAGAAAGAACAACATTGGGGTCTTTCAGCCAAGAAAACCCTTTGCTGTCACTTCAAAGTCATACTTGTAATGAATCATCAAGTTAAACCTGCAAATAAAGGGCAAAGGCAGACACAAGGTTCATGATGTTTGTTTCCTAAGGCCCTAGGTTGATGTCCATTTGGATATGACTGTGAGTTAGGAATGAATGGGGTTCATATTTAGGTGGTGTCATGTTGTTTACTCGTCAAGGGAAATGCGAGCCCTAGGATGGACATGGCTTCAGGTAGGAAATGTTTTCTGGCTCTGAGTGTGTGGCGCATCCTTCCTGCCCAATTCTCTTCCAGTAGGTAGTAGAAATGTGACAGTATTGTCTTCTCTGGTAATCTCTAAGCTACAGTGAAGAAGCAGTTGTGTGGCCTAGGGTTTCTCAACCCTGGCTGCACATCACACCATCTGGGGAGCATTGAAAATATACATGCCCAGATCCTACTCCAGTCAATTAAACTAGAACCTCTCAGGAGGATATCCAGGTATTATATAAATTTAAAGCTCTTCACAAATTCCTGATGTGTAGCCAGGGTTGATAACTACTGGTAGTTGGGACAACATGGGTTTCAGAAATCAAATGAAGCTGGTTTTATTGTTGATAAACTATGAGGTTACTACTTACCTTGGAATTTCTTTTCCTCATCTGTAGAATAGGGGCAATATTTTCTGTACAATTATGGCCATTGTTAAATGGGAAAAATAGGCATAAAGTGCTGAGTACAGTATCATAGTACCTACAACAGAACAGGTGTTCAATAACAAGTTAGATAATTTATTTTACTGGTATCATTTTATTACCACTGTCATTTTTATCATTTATAATTTTATATTCCTAATAATAACAACAAAACTGCAGATACTGGGGAAATCACTCAATATAGAGACAAGAGATATAAGACAAGAGATGTAGGTTTCAGTCCTCTCTCTATCAGTTATCTGACTATGTAGTTGTGGATGAATTAGTTTACCTTTCAGAACCTCAGTTGCCTTCTCTGTAAAATGCAGATAATAAGACCTATCTATTCTTCTTTACCAAGTTTATTGTAAACAAATATTTATCATCTGGAAGAGTGCTTTGAACAGGATGGTACTTTTTGGAAAAAAATGGATTATTATCATTTTGATAATTTTTTCCTAATATAATTCTGTATTTTCAGCCTGGGATAAAGGGAATGGTGTGCCCAGAAATATAAGATGCAGACTAGATTGGGAGAAAGAATTTATGTATGCCCATGTATAATTTTTTGGTAATTCTTTCAACAGAACATAAATCACACTATATTATCATTATCTCTGTGAATACCTGTCTCACCAGAATGCCTAGGTGGATGGACTCTTTTAAAAAAATAACAATATCTAAGCACTTCAGGAACATTTACATAAATGGAAATTATATTTGTGTGCTGTGTCCAGAGGGGTGAGATTTGCACTATATCTTTAGGGATGATTATAATGTAGGTGAGACATGAGATCAGGACACATAATAGTGAAAAAAAGCAGGAAAAAGTATATCAGTTACCCTGTGTGCTAGACACTACCTATAGGGCATACAGACAGTGTGTGTGTGTGTGTGTGTGTGTGTGTGTGTGTGTGTGTATAAAACTAAATTGGAAGCAGGCGCTGTGGCGCATGCCTGTAATCCCGGTGTGAGGGGTGGAGCCGAGGCAGGAGGATCTCGAATTCAAAGCCAGCCTCAACAACTTGGGGAGACCCTAAGTAACTTATTGAGACCCTGTCTCTAAATCAAAAAATAAAAAGGGCTGGAGATAGGGCCTCTGGGTTCAATCCCTGGTACAAAGAAAAAAATAAATTAAATAATTTACTTCTTAAAATCACCTTGAAAGCAGGGTTAATTATATTCATTTCCCAGATGAGGCAATGATAGTCAAAGAGGTGAAGTGATTGTCCATGGTCCCACAGTTAGGAAGTAGCATAACAGAACAAAGCCCCAAAGCCAGGTCTGCACAATTCCAAACTCTTTGTTCTTTCTATTATAACATATTATCTTACCTTTAAGTAAGAGTCAAGGGCTTGCTCAGATAAGGTGGTGAGACCAGTTTGATTTTAGTTGAGCTGGTGATTAAAGTTAAAGTTCAGGGTTTGTCCTTGGGACAGTGATTTGAAACTAGGCTTATGGAGGACTCTGAATTTACATTAAGGGTTTTGAAATTTATCCTGTGAATTTTTGAGCTTTTTGAAAGGTGTTAAATAGAGAGGAAACAGTATAAATAAAGTAAACCTTACAACAGTAGCATATGAATTCAATTTAGTGTTTTATATTTACCTTGAACATTTTAGTAGAAAAAATTGAATATCAGTATCTACTCACAAAAATTAATCAAATAAGAAGATCTACTAACACCCTTGCATAATTGCGTGTCTACTTCAATATTGTCTGCATCAAGCCATGAGCACTTTTTGTGGACATTTTTTTGTCACTTGTTATTATTTTACAAGCATGTTTTTGTTTTGAGCTTGTCCAAATCCTTGTCAGTTTATGTATAATATGTTTGGTTAAATGCTTGTAAGAATCAAATTGTTTGCTTAGCTTTTGGGGTTGGCTCTGACTTTTTCTCTGTTAAGATACATGTGTTTGTGCCAATTGTTTTTTCCTTTTGTCTTGGATTAATTCTTTTGGGCCTGTCTCTCAAAGTGGAATTACTGGATCAATGAGTCCAAACTATCTCATATGTATAATGTTGTAGTTATCCACATTGTTCTAGAATGCTTAATGAGTATTTAGACAAAATAAAACTAGTTACAGTGGCACCAGCATTATCATTTCACGATAATCCTGTCAGAACCATTTTGTAAGAAAGTATTTATATTTAATATGTACTGACCAACCTGGAAGCTAGAGAAATAGAGGTAAGAAGTGACTTAGGAGAGTATTATAATAGTCAAAACCTAAGTGGAAAGGACCTGAATATCTGTGATGATGAATTTGTCAAATTGAAATTCACTATCAAACATTGTTAAACATATTAATACCTAATTTAATTGTCTCAATACCTCTGTAAGATAATGTAGTCTTAATCTTGATTATATGGTTGAGAAAAAAGAGACTTAGGAAGTTATATGACAAAACCAAGGTTTACTAAGTTATGGATCTGGGGTTCAAACATAGACTTTCTGAAGGGACAGCTGGCAGAAAAGGACAAAGATTTTGGTGATGAAGAAGAAATGGAGGCCAAGGAAAATGGCTTCGTAACTTGATTATTGGGTTCCTGTTCCTGAGTTGTATTCCATTTGGCTAATTATTCAAGTCTCTGGTATTGTTCTTTCTTCTAGGAGATACTGACAGTGTCAGCAAAGTGCGGCCTCCAGGAGAAAAGCCAACGATCATCCGTCCCCCAGTGAGACCCCCAGACCCTCCCAGCCGGGCAGCTACTCCCCAAAAGCCAGAACCAAAGCCAGATATTGTAGCTGGCAATGCAGGGGAAATCCCATCATCTGTGTAAGTAGGGTTGTTCCTCAGTTTGACCTAGTGCCTATCTTAGGTGACCAGGAATGCTTTCAGGATCAACATATGGAATGTATATAATGCACAACTGTGGGGCATCATTCACTTTGTAGTCTGGGGGAATATAGGCCAGCCCTGTTTGAAGTATTCCATTCAGCACGCAAAGCTGAGATTTTCCTACAGATGAAGACTTTGATTCTTAGTATCTATCAGAAGACTCATTTTTTTTAGCTGCCCTGATCTATGTAGGGTGATAAAATCACTTTCTGATTTTTAACACACATGGCTTTGGAACTTACTTTCTTTCTTTTTTTGGCAATTTATGTATATCCTTTGTGTATTTTAGCTTTAAAACAAATTTTGCACAATATGTCAGTGTATTTCTGAGAAGTTGAACAGTTATTAAAAAGAGCTATTATCATCTGACTACTGGAAAAATAAAACAAAAAAAACTGAATTACAATAATCCATCTCAGCAAACTTTTCCAATTCAAATTAGAAGGGCTCCAATTTATAAATCTCTTTTGAAAGGACAATATTAATGCAATGTACATAAGAACATCTTATTAATATAATAAAAATAAACCACAATTTTGTTATAAATTAACCCATTTATTATAACCTAGGGATGTCTCAAATGGTAGAACTTCTACTGGTCTTTCAATTCCTTCAGCCTTCTGATTGCAGACTTGACTGTGATGGCAGGAGTGGTGTCGTATGTCATAGGTCCAGGCACCACCAGCCTCTGATTTCATGCAGGAACCACAGTACCAGATCCCCACAGCCCGTCTCTTTATCTTGTTTTTGCCACAGAAGGAGCAAGTGTACTTGGCATGCTGGCTAATTTTAATTTTCTTCACCATTTTCAAGAGGGAGGCACCATAGCAGGTCCCATATTGAACCAATGATTCCGACCTTCTTAGTGTGTTCAGCCATATTGCTGTGACTTAGGCTCCAGCCCAGAAAATGGAACTTACTTTCTTATTTTCTTGTTATTCCTACTGGCTTTAAAAGTAATTTAATGAACACATTAAAAAAAAAAAAAAAAAAAAACTTTCAAAGTCCTCCAAAATGACTCAGGTTCTCCAGAGAGCCTCCTATAGGGTAGGAGCTGAGCTGACATCCAGCAGGCTTTCATGAAGCTGGGCTGTAAGCCACGGAACCAGGGAAGGAGCAGCCAGGATGGGACCACAGCAGCACTCAGGGACTAGCCTGGCTGGTCTTCAGCCAGTGACTGGGACTTCTTTCAGCAATACTACCTCCTGACCTTCCTTTTTCTTGTATCTCTTGCTTTCCATAATTGTAAAATTGGGGAAAGAAGAGCAAAACCTCCACTGTTCCAGATAATTAGCTACATATATTTACTAAATGCCCAAAATTATACTTTGAAACCCAAGACTAATTTCACATATTTAATTTCACATATTTTCTCCAAGAAAAGCTGAAATGGGCAACAAAGTTAGACCATTTTGGACCCACAGGGAGCAAATGGGTTCATCTGTGGTCTTTCAGGTGCCTCTGGGCTCAGAGCCATTATACATAACTTTTTCTTCTTTTTTTCTATCTTCTTTTTTTTTTTTTGTAATGGGGATTGAACCCAGGGGCACTTAACTACTGGGTGACATTCGCAGCCCTTTTTGTATTTTATTTAGAGACACAGTCTCACTGAGTTGCTTAGTGATGCTCTGAGATGCTGAGGTTGGCTTTGAACTGTTATCCTCTTGCCTCAGCCTCCCTAGTTGCTTGGATAACAGGCATATACTACTACACTCAGCTTGGCCATTACACATTCTGATATTTGGGTTTCTCCTGAGACCCAGGCCCATTGCTGGCAAAGGCAAGGCCTCGCATTGGCTGCCTATCTAGTTCAGTCTTTTGTCCTTTTCATTGGTCATTGGTTTTCACATGTATTACAGAACAACTTATGGGACTTAATTGACTTCTGTTTGCAGGGTGGCTTCCAGGACCCGGTTCTTTGAAACAGCTTCCCGGAAAACAGGAAGGTAAGAGACAAAAGGGACAGAAGAGAAACCAAATCATTTTTTAATAAATGCATTATGAACATCCCATGGGTTCTTGCTCTTACCTTCTTTTGTTCTCTTTCTCTATAGAATACTCTCTTTCCTGCAACTTTGTATTTTCATCTCTTTCTCTCACTTGTGTCTCTGTTTTTGTCTGTCTCTCATGCTTTTTCTCACTTAGTGTCTCTCATTCTCTTTCTGTTACTCTTTGTATTTCCTCTGTGTTTCTTTCTTTATGTCCCTGTCCCTGTTTATCTGTTTTTCTTTCCCTATGTCTCTCATATAAGATGTCTCTTCCTTCCACTTTCTTTCTCTCTCACAAATATGTGCATGCACACACACACACTCATGCATACACACCAGATTATACTGCAGAAGCTCATACCCAATGTAGATCTTCTTTTTGTTTGTTTGTTTTACTTATCTAGACCCTGTTAAATTCTCAAAGGGCAACTGATAGGAACATGTAGAGTATAGTACTCTACCTTAAATAGCCTTAGAATAAACATGGCTCCCATTTCAAAGATAAATAGTAGCCTCAGATAATGGTTCTCAAACTTAGTGCATATCTAAATCACCTGCAAAAACTGGAGGGAAAAAAATCAAAGATTCCTGGCTTCTATTCTAGACCTGCTAAAGCAGAATTTCTAGGAGTACAGACTAGAGATCTGTTTTTTTAAATTTTCTTCATTTCTCTCTTTCCTTCCTCCCCCCTTCCTCCCTTCCTCCGTCCCTCCCTCCCTCCCTCCCTCCCTCCCTTCCTTCCTTCCTTCCTTCCTTCCTTCCTTCCTTCCTTCCTTCTTTTCTTATTTTCTGACTCCCTCCTTCCATTTGTGTTTAAAACTTCTCAAGTTCTGGAACAAACTGATCAATCCCTGGGCATTTGGGGCCCTTTGGACTAGAACCTGGAGAAATGATTGCTTAGCTTTTAAGGTATTTTCTGTGAGTTGTTTTATGTTGTTATTGAGAGAGTTTTAAATTGTACTCCCTAAAATGTAATGGAAGTGTTGTTACTCTTCTAGGTGGTAAGTCAAAAGCAAAATAATTCACCTTTTCCAGCAATTCAGCTTGGGATAGGTTAGACATCCTCTAGTCAAAACTGTAGATCTAGACTTACCAAGACCTGGTTCTGCATAAGAAACCCTAGTACTGTGAGCCACAGGAAGCTATAGACTGGGCCAAATTCTCTTTAGATATGATTTTCCATTTTTTTCTACCATAACAGATGAAAGTTAGGTCAAGGCCCCAGATTTCTTTTACAAATAGCATGAAGATGAAAGGTTTTACCATGGAGGTTTTCAAAAAGGCTTGCCTTGAGAATGAAAAAAGAATGAAAAGAAATAAGAGATAAAGAAGCGAGAAAAATGGGCATGCCTAATATTCTTAATGATGTACTCCTCCAGCAAGAGAATTTCCTGGTCAACCCCCCCACCCAGGGAAAGCCTTTTAAGAAATAAATACCAAGGAACTTGAACAATATAATCTGGAATGAACAGAATACAATGGGAATGTCTAAATGAAAAACTTTTTTAGAAGTGATGATTATCTAAGCTGGAGCTTGAAGGATAAGTAAAAATGTACAGAAAAATGTTATGGGATTGAACTGCATCTCTAGATGGGAACCAAGGCTTTGAGAAGGGAATATGTGAGAGGCATGAACAAAATTCAATAGAATCTTCAGGGCAGGCAGACTTTCAATAGGGAAGCAATAGACAAACTAGTGTACAAGTCTGATAACATTGCCAGTTGGGTGGGCTTTGTCAGCCAGTGCTCAGGGAAGCCTTAGAGTAACTATAACTCCAGTGGGCTGTGACCAAATCAGGCCCTTCAGGACACTCTATCTATCCTATATTCACCCTTCAAGAACCTAGACTTAATTTTGGTCTTTATCCCCAGATTCCATCTTGGAAGGAGTATAAATAAGAAAAATGTGGATACCTGCTCTCCAGTATGTCATGAGCCCTCATATCCCACTGGTTCCTCCCACTCAGTATCCAAATAGGGAAGCATCCATTCTGTCTAGACCCCCAGCTCATAACCACCACTTGCATTACTAAATACAAATGCCAGCCTCTGAGCAAGATCCTTGGACTAGTCACACAGTCAATCCTATCCATGGTCACTGTGGCCAAACTCTTCCCTCATCTGTAATGAAACAAATAAACTATTTAACCATTTCCTTGCCCCCTTTTGCTTCCCATTTGCATAACTAACTGTATCCTGCTATTTGAATGACACTCTCCCTCATTCCTTTCCATTCTATAGCAATTTTAGAAAAATAACTGAAAAGAAAATGAGTAGAGGGTCATCAAGAAGAGAAGTGAGGGGCTAGGGTGTAACTCAGTGGTAGAGTGTCTACCTAGCATCCTCAAGGCCCTGGGTTCAAAAAAAGAAGAAGAGGAAGTGAAGACTGCAAGGGAGGACATTATATGGAGGCAGACCATCTTTATATAATACAGGTTCAAGAGAGATTATTGTTTCACTTTGGAGAGAATGTGGGAGTAAAAAGAGGAACTATAGGTGACATTGGAAACATGACTTGGGGCTAGATCATGAAGGTCTTGTATGACATATTAAGGTGTTTAGTCTTTACACTGTAGTCCACTGGAGGAGGGTCATGGAAGATATTTAAGCATGGCAATTCATATTCTGAGCTGTGAGAAGATCACCATAATGATAATGGGGAAGATAGATAATAGTATAGAGACTGGAGGGTGGGAGACCCATTAGGAGACTAATCATCTTGGCAGGATTTGATGAAAGTCCTAGCCTATGGCATTACCTATTGCAATGGAATAGAATGGACAGACTTGTGGCAGGCTCAGTAAGACACTGCTGACTTTTCAAATGTGGGATGTTGCAGAACACCTGAGAGGGAATAGTCAAACTTGAGTAATTAAGTAGATGATTCAAGAATCATCAAGGAGTAGATTTTTTGAGAAAGATTTTGTGCTCAATTATAGATGGTTATTTTGAAGACACTCAGGGGAAATCCTGGTACAGATATCCACTGGGTAACTGCAGCCTTAGGCTAATAGTTGTGTCAGGGCATAGATACATGGAGGAATAGAACTATTGAGAACTGACACCATATAGCTTCAGTATGGATCATCCATATATACTACAATATGAATAGTAGCACTTTGAGGAAAGTGTCCCAAAAGTTGGTAGTAATTGAAACCATGAATGGGAATGAGATTATTCAGGCAATAGTTATAAACAGTTTCGAGAAAAACAGAAGGGGACCAGCTGTTGTGTGGGATGCTCTGCTCACATTATAGGGGAATTGGTTCTATCGTATTTTTTATAATTCCCAGTTGTCCCCAAGCAATGATAATTTGGGATTGATCTGAACACATTAAGAGTCTGAGCAAGGTTGGTTTGGTCTTCAAGATAAAAGATGATACATTTTTACATTTTTACATGCCCTGACACAGATACACAAAGGATTGTTCTGCTACCTGAATAATGTCTTTGTGTCAGGAGACTGTGCTCTCTTAACATTCCAGAGAAGCTTTAAGATATCTGGGCAGAATCATTTCCCCATTTTTCAGATGACCTGTTTGGCCTTGGTCTGGAAGTATCCCTCATCTCCTTGCTTTGCCTATGTCATCCTGATTTCTAGAGTCTTAGTGAACTTTATTTCTTCTTTGCTCACAGTTCTCAAGGCAGACTTCCTGGAGATGAGAGTTGAGGCCACAGGTATGTTGTCTCCACCCTGGCTACAGAACCTTTACAAAGATCCTGATTACGGAGTCTTTAAGGGCTAATACACCAGATTTAGAAGATGGGGAGTCACTTTCATGCTTCAGTTCATTATCCTAAATTGCATGACCCTTGAACTTAGTGCTTTTTAATTCAGAGGTTTTGTGTAATTTTAAATTACTTTCTCCTTTCCTTTCTTTCTCTTCTAGTCAGACGGTAGTATAGTTGTACAGGTTGCCTTTGAATTAAATTCATTATGAGTCCTAGCTGTAACATTTGGGGCAAGTACATTTCCTTTTCAGAGTCTCAGTTTCCCAGTCTATAAAATGAGAAGTTGGAACCTTATAACTTTCACATCCTTTGGGTCAAGAAGGAAACAAATAACCTCCTTTGGGTATTGTAGAAGGTGCCAAGAGGCTACCTTAGTATCTGTACAGGGACTTCATTTCTTCAGACCAAATTACTATTTCAGTCATACCTACCAGAACTTTTATCCTTAGTCTTTTGTGTTTGTCTAGCACAAAACACTTTCATATCCATTATCTCATTCAATCCAAACCAGATGCCAGAAGTAGGTAGGATAATATGTGTTCTGACTCAACAAATAAAGGAATTGAAGTTCAGAGGAGATAAGTCACTTACTAAGGTCAAAAGCATCTTGGAGGTCAGGAAATGCTTTTCTCTACCTAGGAGTTCTAGTTGCTTAACTATCAGATTTCTGGCATGACATGAACCAATATACACATAAATGATATCCAAGTATCTGGAGCTTAGCTTGTCATATGCTCCTTAGCCTTCCTTGTCTTCCTATCACTACCAGTCCTCAGAGGTCCATAGGTTGATAAGCTTCTCCTTATCAGCCAACATAAAGGTGACGCCCCAGTAAAAGGAAGTTTGAAGATACTGCAGGCCATACAGGTGGGGGTAATCTCAGAAGTTCTAGTATCAGACTTTTGCTTTCCCAGGTACACCTTTGGGAAATTAAAGTTGGAAGGCACAAAGTCTCCAGACCTGATTACTATTCCACTGTAGGTCTGTTCTGTGGGATCTGAGCCCTAATGGCCTTTTCCCAGCCAGCCTCTGTTTCTCAGAAGATTAGCTACCAGTCATAGGCTTTGCTACTTACCTAGCAGGCTCCACTGCCCAGTGGTTGTTAAGTGTGTAACAAGTCCTAGCTAATTCCTTTTCTTCTTTTTCTTTCAGGTTTTAAAATCCTTGGCCTCAGGGATCCTTTCCAGGTCCTGAAAGGGTCTACTTCAAAGCCTTGTGTCCTGAGACATTTTGTGCTGAAGAACAGCTCCTTCTTGGCCCTGCACCTTCAGGCTCATGGGAAGCCAAAAATAAGGGGCACATGTCCTAGACACATGTTTATTTCTCCTTTGTATTCTGTCTTCATCCCCTCAGAAGGTCTGTATTAAGCTCCTATAACACTGTGAATGTCTGGATTCCCTCAAGCCCCAGACTCTGCCAAAACCAAGATATCCACTGACCTGAGTCGAAGAAGGGAGCCTAGTTTTCAACTCTTCTGTGAACTTCCTGCTTCCTCAAAAGGCTGTCGAACTCTCAAGATTTGGGGCTAAAGACTGGTCTTAGGAGTCTTGCTCTGAACTAAAGGCAACTTGATTTGGGGTCATTGCTTACCTTGGTTGAAGGGGAGTAGGAATGTTTGCTGAATATTGGAGAATGTTAACATGTCTCTTACTGAGGATATGGGCACTGGTGCCAGGTTGGTGCTCTGGCATTGCAATATGTTGCTAAGAGCCTGTCTGCTGTGGGACCAGACAGCATGGGTTATGTCCTTCACAGTGCTCACACCCTGCATGGACTTAGGAAGGGGGCCTTCCTGCTCTTGCCTACAGCCACTTAGGACAAATCTGCAAAGCATGTTTTGCATGTCAAAGCCTAGGTCTATTTGGATTATCCTTCCTGTTTTCACCTGAAAGCTTCCTTTCCAAGCAAACAAGAAAAAGTGAAAAACAAACAAAACTACTCCAAACTGAAAATATTTCTTTAAAAAAGGCATATTGTGTTTGTCATATTGGAGCTCCATTCTTGAGTCAAATGTTAGGAAAAATTGTTAAGATGGAGGGAAGCCAAGTAGTTATTGCTGTTGCTTCATGTTTGCCTTCTGCTGATAAGCTATTTTATCTCCTGAAAAGCAATTTTTTATCGAGTGTCCATGGATTCAGGAACTCCATGATGCCCCTGAGATGTTATGCATGATTCCATGACAATTTGCCTTTTCTGGGCAGATAGTCCATAATATTTTACTGAATTTCAAATGGGCCTATGACCCAAAAAACATTAAGAACCACACCTCATGAGATAAAAGACTCATTTTACAGTCCATAAAGCATTTGATTAGAAGAGGTTCTCAAAAGCATTTAGTCTAACAGCCTAGTTTACTGGCAGAGCAAGTTAGTGACCACAGCAGAACAAGACCCCAGGTCCCTGAGCTGGTATGTGGAGTTCTTTCTATTACCCCACACTTTTCTAGCCAGGGGCCTTAGTGTTGGTGGCTTTAATGACCATCAGTTTGGGGGGTTGGCTTTTTACCTTTTTTATTGACCTCACATTTGCCACCAAGGGGAAAACTTCAAAAAACAATCCCCTGATCCCTTTCATTGATCATCTCAATCACTGGAAGGGAATTAAATCAATGTAGTGGGTCAGAAAGCTAAGAAATAGATATTTCCGAATCCTGTTTGTTGAAAGAAATCTTCTGAAAGAGTGTCAGTGTTCCCAGGCAGATGCTGTGGCCATAGCCTGTCTTTAAGGTCCATGTGACTATAACATGGCCCAGTATGGGAGGAAGGGCTTTCCTGCTTGTACTCTTCTAACATGAGCCCACTAGTACACTGATTGTAGTACTTAGAGAGAAGCATAGATATGGAGAGAGAGAGAAAAAAAAATCCCAACCAACTCTGAGATGTCTTTGGGATGGTGTTACTAAATGGCAAAAGTCATTTTTAAGACTGAACTCCAAGCATGGTTTATTGGTGAGTAAGGAACATGTAAGCTAAATATATTAAGATCTTTGGTCAAAGTTATTGAGTAGAATCTTGATGCCATTCTAAATCAAACATGCTCAGGTGGCCATATTGAGCTCTTTCCACCCTACCCAGTTTTGAAGGCCACATTGCTAAGGAACCAGGAGCAAGAAAGTTATCATTTCACCCGCTGCTTAGCCACAAAGAAAATCTCTGAGACTTGCTGGTCTCTTATTGAGCCCTGGTCTCAGAGACCTGGGCTCTTGCTGTGTCCTGTTACATGATTGACTAAAACAGGCAGGTGTGCAGAATTTGGTCATGGAACCAGTGGCCAATGGAACCTCAGAACCAGGGAGGATGGTAGAGAGATGGTTTGACTCTAGTTTTCTTGGGTAGAAAATACCACAACCACCACGGTGAAATTGGGAGATTATTGAGAAGCAGAGAAATGTATGGCAATCCCAGTGGAAGAAATATCCAGAAACTTGGTAGTGAGATTGCTGTGTTGCCTGGGACACAGATCTAGATCCTAACATGAAGGACAGGTACCATCAGTCTTATTGGAGGAATAATGGCTGAAGTTGTTTTGGCCTTGTTCTAAGCTATCCCCAAAGAATGAACCTCATTGCTCCCCCTGGTACTCTGATTTAAAGAGCATAAGACTCTGGCGAGGCATGCTATCATGGAATGAGATTGGCTTGGCCTACGCTTGATGGTCTTTTAGAAGAGGCAATGGGATAAAGGAAATAATCATAAAGTGGCAGCTATAGGAAATAATCAGCGTACCTTAGCCAGTAGGTTAGAGAAACTGGCAATGGATGAGTTGTAAGTCTTGAACTGGCAGTGATAACAAAGGAGCTAACAGTTATTAAACACCTACTAAGTACTAGGTGCTTCATGTATATTATCTCATTTCATCCTTAAAACAGTCATGCAAGTATTCATCTCATTTTAAAGATAAAGGAAGTATAGCCCAGTGGGCTGAAGTAAACAGCTCAAGGGCATATAGATTATAGTAAATAACAGATACTGTGATTTGAATCCAGGCCTCTCTGACTCTACCCCATGATATATATATATATATTAATTTTTGTCACACTGAGTTAGGTGTTTAAACAGAGGTCACATTACTGGAACTGGCCTGATTGTTGACTCTTGCCTGCCTAACAAAATATTAAAAGGTAAGCATTTGATGGAGGAAGGGGAGTTAAGTCCGCTTTACAGGGAAATGAAAATTAGTCTGGAAGATATTCCTGAGTTGGGCTTTCTCTTCACCTCTAGAGTATCTATTTGGTAATATTTTTTAAAGGATCATCTAGTTTTACCTTGTGAAGTAAAAGATTTAATTTTAGTTGATAGTTGGTAAGTCCTTGGCCTAGCTATTTTTCAAAGGGAAAAGATCCTTTTGTATATCTATGTACTTTGCTGATACTTCGCCAATGTTGTAGCGTGTCCAGTTTCAATCAAAGAACTTGTGGCATACTTACATGCAGTTTGAGAAGCAGGAAAGGTCTCTGTGCTCTGTGGTACTTCATGCCATGGGGTCAAAACCCTACGCAGTTTTTCTGTGATAACAATAAACATCAGGAGATGGTTTCAAAAAAATATTGAATTTTTATTTTTGAAGTTAAAAAAAGTGCATAGGGGTATGTTCAGCCACTGAGGAGCAAAACTAAGCATCCAATTTCAATAATAAAATAATGTCATATCTAAATAATTGGGTATCATGGGGGAAATGACCTTCCCTTTTCAAGAAGTTACTTGATGCTATAATAACTAGAACAAATAATGTAATAGAGGGAGTAGTTCTGTAACTATTAAAAATTGCTTGTGAGAAAATGTAGATCAATGATGCTACTATTAAAGTAGCTGCAGACAAGTGGCCTTGACACATTACAAGCCCAGAAAAAGCTTCAGAAACAATGAAAATGCAGAGATGCAAGATAACTTGAAGGAGATATTTTCAGTGAAGAAAAGCTTTCATTTTCATAAGGAAATGAAACACTTGATGCCAAGGACAATAATAGAGGACTCAGAAGATCGCCTATGTGAAATATATGTGTGAAATCAGAAAAAAAAATGAGATTCTGGGGCCCATTCATGTGACTTTCAATAAAACATGCAGACTGTCTAGTACAAATGGTTTCCATCTACAGTTTCATCATGAAAACAATTTGTGAACATATTAGGCATGATCGTACAGCCACTATCTACTGTTTGTGTTGTTTTCTACAAACCTAGGAAACTTAGGCACAGAATTATTTTAGTCCGATGAGTCTTAATGTACTTTCTACTCTGCACTGTGGCCTTCTCATTCCCTTAGGCCTCACATCATCCCTATGTGGTAGCTAATGGTAGCATTTTTATAGATAAGGAACTTGAAGCTCAGGGAGATGAGAAATGATTTGCTCAAGATCACACACTAGTGACTGATTTAAAAAAAAAAAACAACCCAGGACTAGAAGTTACAGAGTGCGTTCCACTTCTAATATACCTCGCTGCCCCCAGTATTAGAGAAGATGAATCTCTATGGTAAATAGAGAAGATACTTAGAAATAGGACTGCCGAAAACATAAGGTAAGTCTTGATACTCATAACATGACCCAGCATTCTCAACATCAACATTACCTGGGAACTTGTTAGAAATGAAGACTCTGTGGGCCTACCCAGACATCTGGATCTGTATTTTAACAAGATTCCCAAGAGATTCCTATGTAAAAGTTTGAGAAGCACTGAATGAGGCTGAATTGATGTGTTGGGAATGGTTACAAAAATTGAGTCAATAGCTATCTGCTTCTTGTTTTGCTTTGCCCATGACCTTGAGCTTTGGTGACAAATGAATGAAGTTTCTCCACCTCAAATAGTGAAATCAGCATCGTGAATAAGAAAACTAAAAAAGTTACCGGGCCTTCAAACTCTGAGCAATGGAGGCAGTGGAAAGGCAACAAGGGGCAGTTGGAAAAAATTCATTTCATGAGCCCTAAGGGACTCAGCTTTGTCACTGCCTCTCTAGAATGCCGAGCAAATCCCTCTCCGTTTTAGGCCTGGTTGCCTTTAAACAAGGTGATCTTATAGCACCTTTTCAGCTTTGATATTCTGTTATTCTTGGGTTTGGATTCTACCAAAGCCTTCATTGTCATGAAAAGAGACTACTACTTTAGTATCTTCAGTTTATATAAGAAGGGGTAAATTTCAGAGTAATAGTAAAGCAACATTAATGGAAACTGCAAGGATTTAGGAGGGGTATTACTTCAATTAAACTGCTCATGGTACTAGCACAAGGTTCTTTCAAACCTTTCAGCATTTCTTTCAACAGCAAGAGTACACATGGGGTAGGACAGATAGGCTTTATATCTGGGAGCTTTGCCTCCATTACATGTTCATGCTCGTTACTTCATTAGAGCCTCACACAGCCTTATCACCTAGTCAGAGCAAGGATAATTATCCTCATTTTATTAAAACTCTGACATAACATGTCCTAGGTCATATAGGTAGGAAACAGAGTGGAACTTAAGCGTGTGATTTCTTCTAGGCTGTACTAGTCCTCTAGGAAGGAAAAGTAGCCTTGAAAACCCACAGCTCTTCTCCTGGGAAATGTTATGTGCTCCAAGTATTAATTCCATCAATCGAGTTGCTTCAAAACACTGATTGATTTTATCCTGTTGGAGCATATAACAGCTGTATGACTTGAAACTTTGTGGAGCACTTTTAGTTCCCTTACATCATTTTGTTCTCATAGCAGCCCTATAAGGTGCGAAGTACAAGGTATTTTGCCCTCGCTTAACATATGCATAAGTAGAAGCCCAGCAGCATTGCATTAGTCTTCTATTGCTGCTACTAAAACAGATTATCATCAGTTTAGCAGCTTAAGACAACATCTGTGTGTTACCTAACAGTTTCTGTTGGTCAGAAGTTTGCTGGATTCATTGCTTAGGTTCTCACTGAGTTTAAATAAAA